TTTTTTTTTTTTTTTTTTTTTTTGTGTGTGTGTGTGCTCTAGACACAACTCCACAAAAGAAGCATGACTGTGCCAGACTGTTTCGTTGGACTTTCATCGACTCATCAGGAGGTTGAACGCCGATAGTCTTCCCAGGATGCATTTGACTGATGGACAAGGACTCACCACGCCGCCCACAGTTAGCCATACCCCTGAGAAAAGTGGTCGACTTTGCTAACACCAACCCTGCAGTTCTAGCAGACTGTCGTTTCCAAACCCCTGACAAGATTGGCGGCGAGTCTGAGAAACTAATGTGACACAGACATAAAACCCACTCTAGACACCCACTCAGCCATGGATACCCAATCGCATGACCGCTAGTACAATCCCGACCGTGGCCGCATAGATCTGAGTGTGTTGGGAACCGTCACCACAACCAGCCCTCTTCCATTCATATGAGTCGATCCCAAACTTAAAACGGCTTTACCTCTATAGCAAACAACATGAAGCACATCAGAACCATTACATTAGCTTTTCCTTGTGCAGTCCTTTTTTTTTTTTTTTTTATAAGTTTAAAAAAAAAAAGAAAAACAGGTCCTTATGGACCTGGCTCCATATCCATTCTGGGGAGCATCAGTCCGGTTCCTATTCCACCGGCAAGTCAGAAATTACAATATGAGACACCCTCACGCTTCCTTCCGTCTGGCCAAAGGACCCCTGAACAGCATTGATTGCTCCAGCATTGCGGAGGATTGTCTGTCAGCTTGCCATACATCTATCTTTCCTCTCAGGTCCAGAGCTATCTAAACCTGTCGTATTTATCATGAGAGCAGTCGTTTCTTTGCTTCCTTTTTTTTTTTTTTTTTTTTTTAATAATAAAAACAGGTCCTTATGGCCCTGGCTCCATATCCATCCTCGGGAGTGTCAGTCCTGTTCCTATTCCACCAGCAAGTCAGGATAACATATTACATCATGAAACACACTCACGCTTCCTTCTGTCTGGCCGAAGGATCCCTGGACAGCATTGATTGCTCCAGCGGTATGGAGGATTGACTGTCAGCTTGCCTTACTTCTACCTTTCCTCTCAGGTCCAGCTAGCTGGGCCTGTTGTATTTACCGCTAGACACGAGAGAGGGATAAGCGAGTACTTTGGCTTTTTTTTGGCTTTCCTCTTTTGTGTGTCTCTGTGTTTGTGTGCGCATGTGTGCTCCTCTCGGGGTCAGTCTAATTGCCTGACCTTACTGTCGAAGGCCGCTGAAACAGACTGGCATTCTTATCGACTGCTTTGCCCCAGCGTTTTGTCCCTACCGGGTGGTAGTACCCGATATACAGTTCCACTCAAGGCCCCTACCTACCCCACTCCACACCCCCTCCCCACCCCCTCTCCACCCGCCTCCCCACCCTCCTCCCATCCTTCTCCATCGTCAAATCAAGCAATTCTACTTCACAAATCATGCTCGGCTTGTGCACGACCTGAGGAATCTCATAGATAGGGCATTTGCCGACTTACCGTCAACAGATAGTCCTTCCGGAAAACAAAGGGAAAAAGAAAGTCTTCCCTCCTCCTCCTCCTCCTCCTGCGCACTCCTCATCCATTGCTTCCACCGTGCTCCACCTTGTAGAGGAGGAAGAGGAGACAAATGAGGATGACGGGAAGGATGATGAAGAGTCAGAAACCAAGAAGGCAAGAAGGGTAATGCCGCCATAGCCAGAATCTTTTAGAATTGTTAATAGGCAATTTTAAGATTCTGGCTATGGCGGCATTGCACAAGTGGCTATGGCGGGGCAACTTGCAAAGTCCTTGCAGAAGTGTCTCAAACCATCTTCAAAATTTTAAGAATGGAGAACGTTTTGGAAATAGCGAGTCCTTAAACCACCAGTACACCCGGGCCTAGAAGCGCTGCACTGCGTGCCGAGCTTTTCCGAACTGCCAGCGGTGGCGCACTTTTCTCTTCTCTTTGGCTGGCGCCGCCAGCCATTGTGGTCCGGTTGCCCTGAGCCCGGAAAAGTTCGCAATAGGTGACAAGCAAATCTCCACAGCGCTGGGGCCGTGTACTACCGTCTTCACCCGAAAAGAACGCCCGGTCATTATTGCTGCATCTAGACAGAGGACTGCCCCAGATACGGCTATAATGACCGGACGTTCTATTCGGGTGAATACGGTAGCGGTTTAACACTTCCGCGATTGCTCGAGAAGCATTGTCTTATATGTAAAGGATTAGCATGAGTAAGAAGAGGAGGAAGAAGGTGTGGAGGAGGAGGATCGAGATAAGGTGGGGCGGAGGACAAGGAGGAAAAAAGATGACAGTAAGAAGGGGAGAAAGGTGAAGAAGGAATGGCCATTGTGGGAAGCAGTAAATCTCTTCCCCGCTCTCTTCCCCTCTCTCTTCCCCTCTTCCGCCTTCTGTTTCCTCCTTGCTGTCTGCATATATGGGATGGTCTTTTGCCTGCTCTCCTCACTGCTCAGGGGTATTGGAGTTCAAGACTTCATGCCCAAATCTAGGGGAAGAACCTTTGGAATTTCTGACAAATGCTTCTTGTCTGTGTAACGAGGTAAGGGAGGAGTTGGGGGCAGGGGAAACCCTAGACCCTAAACACCAGACCGCAAACCCTAACCCCTAACCCCTAATCCCCTAACCCCTAACCCCTAACCCCTGAACCCTAACCCTAAACCCTAAACCCTAAACCCTGAAACCTAAACCCTAAACCCTAAACCCTGAACCCTGAACCCTGAACTGAATCCCTTTTTCAAAGGTTTTTTTTTTTGTTTTTTTTAATAATAAAACAGGTGGTTATGGGCCTGGCTCCTTTTCCATTTTGGGGAGCGTCAGTCCGGTTCCTATTCCCCCAGCAAGTCAAGATTGAATACATTATGAAAACACGCTCACGCTTCCTTTCATATGGCTGAAGGACCGCTGACCAGAATTGATTGCTCCCCTGAAGGAGGATTGACCCTGAACTGAATCCCTAACTCTTAAACCACCAGTACTTCCTAAAGTCGTGCCCGTTAACGAGCCACAATTTTAGGACCGTACGGGCCACTACAGGAGCGCCCAAATTCATCCGACTAGAAACGTTTCTACTCTATGTTTTTTCCACGGCCGATAGCTGGGCCAAGTACTGGTGGTTTAACCTCTAACCCCTAACCCCAAGCCCCTAAACCCTAACCCCTAGATCCTAAATCCTGAAACCCTAAACCCTAAACCCTAAACCCTAAGCCCTACAAAGGGGAGGGGGGGGGTGAGGGGGGAGCGGGAGAGTGGAAGGAGGAGGAGGAGCGGGAATGCTGGTTGTCTTTTAGTTAGCATCCGACACTTGCGTTGACCTGCACATGATTTTCGATATTCACGTCGCTAGTATATCTGCACCGTTCCGCTGCACATGATTTTCGATAGTCGCTGTTATTTTCCAAACTCCTAACCTTTCCCTGAATGTGGGTTTTATTCACTTTCTTTCCTTCCTAGGTTGTGGTTTCTGCAATGAACGAACCTCAAGCAGGCGGCTTGCAACTTGGCTTGGTTAGGGTGGAAGAGCTACCCTCAAGGAGCTGGAAGGTGGGGGCATTGACTCTCTCCAGAGATGCTATTCTTGCCTTTCTTATCATATTTGTCCCGTTCTTGGCTGCCCTTTGGACATGGCGGATTGAGGCAAGGAGCTTTTGCCACCTCAGGTACCAAAATACTACCGATCACTCGATCATTCTATCTATATGTTTGTGCGCACAGCGCAGATTTACACTCCCTCCTTCCTCTTCCCATTTCTCCCTCTGGGGTCCTACTTGTAAATTACATGTTTTTCAAACTTCAAAGTTCAAACCCTCCCCTGCTTTTGTACAACACTCCCTCCATAACCCTCTCTCTCTCTTTATGCCACACAAGGGGGCCTCCTTTTTTTTTAATGTGTGTTTTCTACGATTGTTTGCCATGTTGGATCATAAAACATAAAAAAACTAGACTTCTGTTCCTTTTTTTTTTCTTCTGCGCGGAGGTTTTTTTCGTTGTCATTGTCTTTTATTCTTTCTTTCTTTTGCTGTCAATTTCTGATTAACGACTCTTTGCTGTACTCCCTAGAGCTCCTCCTCAATCCCGACTGAAAGTCTGGCCTAGTGGTCGGACCAGGGAAACACCTTCTCCAGCTTTGGCAGTGTGACCACGCCACGGGAAGTGGCCATGGTGGACAGTTCCCGCCGTCAAATTGGAGAATCTGGTTTTGTTAATTTCTAAGGGCTTGATTTTATGTCGAAATAGGCGTTGTTGGCGTTTTACTCTGCCTTCTTTTCCCATTGCATTCTATACTGTGCTTGGGCTGTCTGTGGACGGTTGGTTTGACTTCTTTATGAAAGAGTGTAAAGGGGGTGAGAATCGTCATGTGCAATAAACCGTTTATTTGCCCGACTTCGGGAGCCGAAGTGGCTGTGTGTGCAAGCTGTGTGCAGTCGTTTGGTGTCTTTGAACCACCTGTTAGTGTTTTACCCATAGCTGTCGAAAGAGGGTAATGGACGAGAAAAATCTTCATTGTCGTCACATGCAGTATAGTCTTCACCTGATTATAACGCCCTGTCATTGTAGCTGTATTTGGGGCACCTTTCATCTAGATAGTAGATACAGCATTAATCACCGGGCGCGTTTCGTTTGGGTGAAAATGGCAGTCCCAAACAGCTGCTGAACTGACAGTCCACGATGTCTGCAGTCGTTGGTGTCCTGAAAAAGAGGAAAACATGACGGAACAAAAAAGACAAGGATGTTGTAGGAGAAAACTCATTTGTGTTAACCTCTTCCTTCCCAAAACAGATGTTGAAGTTACAGTGCAAGCTTGTCTGCCAGATAAAAGCATCCATGCACATAACACAGTCTCAAAAAACCATGGTTGGAACCAACGGAAGCATGGTTCAACTGGAAGTATCAATTCCTTGCTGCAACTGGGAAGATCAATTCCTTGCTGCCTTTCAACAGTGGAGAGGTCTGATGCCAAATGCGTTTTTTTGAATTTTTCGGCTTCCATGGACATAGTACGCTCTGGGTTCCAACCATGGTTTGTGAGAGACTGTTTGAGAATCTTCTTTGCCTTGTGTTGCATCAGGGGTTGTTCCTTGGCAAACCTACTTAGCTATTTGACTGTCGTTAGTCGTGAACTCAACACTGTAGAGCAAGGCCATGGGCGTGGCGGCATGGTCGGTGTCCTGGACGGGGTGACATTGTGTTCACTGCTGCCACAGTCATGGATCAATAAGTGACAGTGGCGCTACTTGCAAATTTGGCTCAACAAAGTTCGACTTTTATATTGTTTGAATTTGACCTTTGTGGGCCCAATCAGATTATTTATGCTGTTCTGTATGTCCTTAGAAAGGGCCAACGAGTGGTTAAGGAGGAGAGGGAAAACAAAGGGACTCTTTCAGATGAAGAAAATTCATCATTCACGTTGTCAGAGCTAAGGAAAAGATGGGGAAAAATGTCTTAGGGGTATGTAGTTTCATGGCCTTTCGTCAGAGCAAACAAAAGGGGCTAACGAAAGTTGCGGTGTGTGTGTGTGTGTGTGTGTGTGTGTGTGTGTGTGTGTGTGTGTGTGTGTGTGTGTGTGTGTGTGTGTGTGTG